TTTTGCAGCGATGAAGCAGTATGGCCAGATAATCCTAAAAAGCGAGGCTGAATTGGTTTTAAAACGTTATAGATACGCAATGAAACTTGAAGTTAAAAAGAAGTCAGTATATTCCATGATAAAAATATAGTAAGGTAGAACCGCTGAGAGTCACTTTTAAGATTCTTGACGTTTCCAAACAATTTAATTTTTAAATTTACTCACAAACTCACACACACATTTTCATTTTCAATCTCAAGCAACAACAATTTCGAACAATTTCAATGTTTTATTTTCACTTTTATATGATTTTAAAATGTTGGCAAACTTCAAAAAAAAATCATGGCCGACAAATTGAGAGAACGGTTATACCTTGCTATGTTTTTATCATGGTATATTCATTCCTTAAAAACTCTTCGTCAAATCGTTAAAGCTATGTTCAAATTAAAGCATAAATTACTTTGTTTCGGCCAAATTACTTCACATAAAACAAGTACGTTCAGACTTGCTTTCATGATTTCTATATCGACGGCTGAGTGGGAGATCGACCTATCTCGACAGCCAGTTCGAAAACGCCCTATTTCGAAAAACTTTTCAAGAACGCCCTATTTCAGAATTCGTTTCAAAAACGCCCTATCTCAGCTGTCGATTCAAAAACGTCCTATCTCAGTATATTTTCAATACATTTTGAAGTGACATAGGGCGTTCTTCAACCAAATTTTGAGATAGGGTGTTTTTAAATAAAATTCTGAAATAGGGCGTTCTTGAAAAGTTTTCTGAAATAGGGCGTTTTCGAACTGGCTGCCGAGGTAGGTCGATCTTCCACTCAGCAATCGATATACACACATACATTTCATTAGCAATGTGTACGTATCGTACGTGTGTGGTTTGTACTTGATTTGAATTAAAATGGATGCATACCTTAAAGTGTTTTTTTTTTAATAATTTCCTCAACAGTGGCAGTTAAAATAAATGACAACAGATTTCTATCTTCGTTTGGTTCTCGATTTATAATAAATTATCGCATTTCTACTTAATTTATTGATATATTTTATAAGACAAAATTATTTGATATCAGCAAGACTTGCTTATAAATTACGAATGAGCCGTAAATTACGATAATGGGAATTTTTGCCCTCACTGTTGAGGAAATGCCTGAAGGTATGCAACTATATTTTTGTTTTGAAATCAAGTACAAATCAGTTAAAAAAGTATGAAAGAAAATGTGAACGTACTTGATTTATGTGAAGTAGTTTTAGGATAAGAAAAAGTAAACATCTATTGAATGAATATTTTTTACATCGAGAAGCAGCTAAAACCAAATTTATTAGTTTTATTTTTTATTTTATTAGTATTATATAATATTTTATTTATTGTTTTTTTTTGTTCAGAATCTTGTGTATATGAACTTGCATTTCCATATTTCGGTGCATTTGTAAATTCACAACAATAAAATGCAAACGGTTGCTATGGTAGCAAGCATCAAATTTGCAAATGCAAATCCAATACCATTTCTACAATATCCAGAGCAGTTCTTGTGTAATATTTTGAACGGTAAATAGTAGTTTTAAAAATATTATGTATTTTTAGTATTACAAGGTACTTAGTTTTATAAGTTCCAGTACAAATTTTTATTATGAACATTTTATGTAAAAAATGCCAGAAAAAATGGCATAAAGTTATATGCTGAACCTAGCCTTAAAAATTGTAACCTGGTCATACTGCGCAGTAGCAATTCGCCGCTCTGACATCTTATTACATAGGTGCTGCCAGCGGGATTATTTTCTTATGTTCACCGGGTGACTCATCGTTTATGTAATTGTAAATACATTTCGGACACTTGCGGAGTGTGGTGAAAATGAAAAATGACAATTATCGGTTGGGCTTAAAAAATGAGTATAACTATGTTCTGTTAAATTTCACGTGTGTGATGCGCAGTTTCACCAATAAATTTTAAAATTTATAGTACTGATAAAATTTAAAATAGCAAAATTTCCTAACATTTCCAATTTAAATTTTTAACAGTCTGATAGGTAAATTTAAAAATGATTGGTGAAACCGAGCATGAGGATTTTAATTCATAGCTCTTTTGTAAAACAATTTTTATTCACAATCCCGGCATATAAGAAACATTTACATAATAAGAACAAAAACATGGAAAAATCAGTACATAGCTTTCGGAGTAAGTACTTTCTCTGTAAAGTTTCCTCACTCTATCATCTGATCGTTCCCACGTTAGTACACTTTAACGGAACGAACCGATTTATTTTTGATACAGGGGCATTATTTCTGCTGCTATGTGGTGTTGCAATGGCAATAGGCGTATCTGGTGGGTGGTTAGCTGAGCGCGCTACCATTTCGCAGGGCCAGGGTTCAAGCCCAGTTTCCGAAATAAAAAAATAAAAAAATCATAAACAAGTTTTTTCTGATAGAGTTCGCACCTTGGCAGGCAATGGCAAACCTCCGAGTGTATTTTTGACACGAATAAGCTTCCCAGCCAGTAGAGAAACGTAAATTTTAAAGACAGTGCGGTTTCGCACAGTTTTCTGTTTACGGAAACGACTACCTTTTTCAACAATTTTATTGAGCTTGAGGAAGATTTTATTGACAACTTTTTGCGGATAAACAACATTAGTTTACAAACGGAAGAAAATATAGCTGATATTTCGGAGATCACCACATCTCCTCATCTGACTTTTTTCATCGCGTAGACGGCAGTGGCTGAGCGTGCGGAGGAGCGTACCACTATTTGTTAGCATCTAGAAGGTGCCGGGTTCGAATCCCTTAGGTGCTTCCTAATTTTTAATTTTTTTTAACAATAAAAAAGCTTCCGTGAACTGTAGATGCAAAGCGTGTTGAACGAAAAATTCAATCAAATAAATTTCAGAGAAAAACAGCAAAAAAACATCTCCGTTTCACAACCATTTTCGTTACTTGTCGGTACATACGTTTCTGCCGCATACTTTAGTGGGAAAACGGATCGTCAAAGGAATCCGTAAACGGACAAAAATCGCATTTCATTAATTTTTTTTCCTTTTTTGGATGAATTTTCAGATTTTTTTTCTGGCTGGGTTCTGATACGAATACAATCGCCGTTCGGAATCGGCGTAAAACTGTAGGTTCCTCCCCATTGTGCGACAACATCAAGACGCAGAGTCAATTCGGATATCCAGAGGTCCAGAGTTATGAAATGCGCCCGAGTAACCCTAGATTTTCTTAATTCTCAATTGAACGCCAAAAAAATTTGTTACTAATTTTCCAATTTATACTTAGAAAAAATGAGTTAGGTACCTACAAGACCCAATGAAAAGGTAGCAGCAACAGAGGAGTGAATTTGATTTTTTTCGGGCACTTAGTCTCAGAATGGTTAATTTTGGTTATAAACAAACATTTTACTCTAAAATATTAAATTTTATTTAAATCCTTTGACATTTAAGAGTACAAAATTAATAACAAAATACATATACGGCGTTTTTTTTTTATATCCAGAAACACCCAGCTTCCACATAAAAATGCATGCAAATTGAGAAAGACTGATAAAGCACTCGGCTGCTCTTAGTTTTCTTCACTCATTTAGAAATGTCTTATGCAATCTGTTCTAATGACAACGGGATCAAAACTAACAGGAAGCTGTAATTTATTGCGAATTGTACTTGCTTTATTTTAATTAAGCATGCAAGCTCGTGCAACAAGTCTCACCATTAATTTAGTTAATTGACAAATGACATAAGCGTTTGAAAATGTAATAGTTGCTAACCGATGGAAAATATTTTGTTCATTTTAGTATAGCCCCTCGATAGTCAACCTAATACATAGATAAGTACATATCTACATTAGGGTGGTCCAAATGTACACAGGAATATTAACTTTTCGGAATTTCTTTGCTGCAACGTACAGGATTATAGAAAATGCCTTTTATTTAACTTCACTTGTATGTAAATATGTACATACGTACATATGTATGTAGGTCGTGGAATTTCGCAATAAATATTTCACTAACTACCTTGAGACTTGAAACTTCAAATTAAGCTCATAAACCAATGACAATGCAATATGAAATAATCTGCTTGGTGGCGCAGGAGTCGAGACATTTGGAAAATCGTATTCATGTATATAATTTTGCCGATAGGTGACGCAGAAGTACTTAAAAAGCTTGCTTAACACCCTAATGTCGTACATACCCTGTAAACCAAAGTTCCTGAAATATTAACAAAATCATAAAGAGTATCGGAAATTTGTTTCGAATTTTGTAACGATTTCTTTACGAATCTTGAAAGAAAATCATTCTGTTCCTACTTTCTTAAAAAAAGTTCTGCAAAAATTCTTTGCATCACAGCATTATTTTTCAAAGTGTGCCAGTATATTTCATCTTAGAAAATTTGGCAAAAAATCGGAAAGACAAACAATGGTTTCTATAGAACTTCTTTAAGATTCCTCTACTTTTCAAAATATTCCGAAAACAGGGTTTGCAGGGTAAATACATTCATACATCATATTAAATGCTTACGAAGTAATTTTATTTTTTTTTCGGGGACTTCTTTTTATATTTTAAATTTCTTTGTTATGGTCTTGAGAAGACAATTTTGTTTTGTTCCAAAGTATATTGGCCCAAGCTTCCCGTTCTAGTACTTCCCCAACAGATCTCAGTTCCTACCACCCTAACGTACAACCCTGATGTGCGAAAATTAAAGCTCACCAAAAATCATAAACTTTTGCTAACGCAGTTTGAAATTTCCCATGTATGTATTTTACATGGGGAAAATCAATTTTTTCGTAGAATTGCTATAAAATAGGATAAATATATTAATCGGTGGCTGGAGGAAAACATTTTTTGGCCACCCTAATGTACATACATAGCCAAATATTTGTCGCTTTTCATATGAATTGTACTACGATTTCTGCTGTATAAATAGTTAAAATATTGTTAAGTTAAAACATTGCAAATTTTTAATACCATTTAAAAAAACATTTTTTATAATATCTTTAAATGAAATGATTATTCAATATTTTGTTCTTTTCAGATGAGCGGGAAACGTTCACGTAGCTTTAAATGTGCAGTTCATCATCGTGATCGCGAGGTTTGTTCCGAAAATGACTTCCATCTTGTACTAGAAGAACCGCCATTTTTTAAGAAAATGGTGCACGTCGTTGCCATGGAAATACTGCCCGAAGAGCGTGATCGCAAATATTATGCCGATCGTTATTCATGTTGTCCCCCGCCTTTATTCATTATACTAATGACAATCATAGAGGTAAGTAGGTCGTTATTATTTAGATGCTCACAGCCATCCCTAAATTGGAGCGCTAAGCGTTGCGTTTTTCAACGTCAATGCGTTATCCCTAAAGAAGCGAGTATTTTTTCTTACTTTCATAAAAATTTTATGTGCATTATGATTTTTGACAGTTCCCTGATGCTTGACGCCCCAATTTAAAGATGGCTATTAAACCTTTTGCGATCTTATAATAGTAAATACATACTATGAATGTACATTAGGGTTGTTCAAAATAAGTAAAGTCGGAATTTTAATGCTCTCTTCCCCTGGAATTGTTCTATATCGAAAAAAAACATTTACCAGTATTTTTTCTTTTTGAAATCAATAAATATTTAGAGGTCCCTCAAGGCCTCAAAGTTTTCCATGTTTTTTAAATGGGAAAAACCACAATTCGTAGAAATTGTATAGAAGCTAGAAAAATAATATTTTTCGATCTGGCAAACCCAATTGTTTATTTAACCATTTTTTAATACTAAAGATTTTTTTTTTAATTTTTGCTTCAACGAATCATGTTTGCACGGTGTATGGCGAAATGGGAAAAGTACTTAGGTTTGAAGTATGTTCGACAAGCCACTTCTGTGGTGTGGAGGGACCTACAATTTTACGCCGACTCCGAAAAGCGATTGTATTTTTATGAGAAGCTGTTTTTCATGGCAGAAATACACTCGGAGGTTTGCCATTGCCCACCGCTATTAAAAAAAAAACCTTTTTTGATTTTTAATTTTTTGATGTTGGGTTGAACCGGGCTTGAGCCCAGGTCCTGCTGAATGGTAGTGCGCACTGCTAATCACAACAACATAGCGGCCGCCACATAATTTAAATGGATTTAAGTTTTCTGACTTTGGAATCTAAAAGTTCAATCTTTAAGCTTTCATGTTATACCATTCAAAAGATTGTATTCCACGTCTACATATATCTTCCTATAGGAGTTAAAAAAAGCCAGAAACCCGTTTCTCCCCAAATATCTCAAAAACTAGAGCCAATTGAATAACTTCAATGTCAGATTATGATTCTACGAAAAAAACACAAACGAATGAAACCGAAACTGTGACCGTTTAAACTGCTTCGCTTTTCAAAACCGAAACCGTTATTTTAATCTGAGAAAGAACGGAACCGAAACCGTTTCAAGCACAGCAACCGGCTCTAATCGGTTTCGAGAAAACTATAAAAATCAGCTGCAGGATGTGCCAACAACAAAGTTGATTTTCTTTAATAGCATAACTGTGCCGTTGCACGATCAAGTTTTTGCTATAAAGTTGAACACACATATTGCTTGTCAAAACTCCTTTGAATTTACAGCTGTGATGTAGGCTGCACGCAATTTGATAGTAAATTTTTTTCGATTCAAGTTGCCGTCGTCAAGGAAACTACTTAAAATTCTCGCCTCGTTGCCGTACCTACATTTATCTGACACAACCTCTCACTAAATTCTGGAGTATTGGAACAGACTAAATGTGATCAGTTGTTTGACTGTACTATCAAGTTGACACACGACTTGAAAGGAAAAATTGATATCAAGTCGATAGTTAAGTTGTGAAAGTGTGAGTGTATTGCAACAGCTGATAGGCAATTTGCAAAGTATGAGTGATTCATAGGTTTTTCCTTATATGAATTAAAATTAACCACAATGTTTAATGCCGCAAAAAAATTTTAGCAAACGTTGGAAGGTACATATTAGTTGCGTTCCGTAAATCGCAAGAAGTTGCAAGAATTTACAGGATTTTACCAGAAAGCGTTCCCGTACTCGGTTCTCTGGCAAAGTAGGGGAAAAATGGGAGAGTAAAATCGGCTCTCTCTTTGTCAGAAGTTTTTACCCGAAGAATTTCTGGTAAAGTGTCAAACCATCAGCTGTTCAAACGATTTGAATGTTGTATAAGCAAATACAAAAGTACATTTGCATTTTCACCAGATTAAATATATCGTAGCGAACAAATTTCAAGTTCTGAAAGTAACCATGTTAATTTGCTTTTGTATTTGCGTATAATTTAGCAGATCGCCAAATGAAAAAAACTGCCATGTACACAAAAAATGGCGCCCACGGTGTATTTGACAGTTTTACCAGTTTTCAGCCGAAAAGCGTTCCCGTATTTTTTGATTCTCTCCTTCTCTGAGAGCAATGTTCCTTTTTGACAGTTTTACAGGTTTTGTCCAGAAAAGTTGAGGAATTAAACTATTTATCTAATGAATAAACCTTTTTGTCAAACTTGTTTTCGTATTTTTATTCCAAAAACCGAAACTGAAACCGATTCGGTTTCGGATTTTGATTCGGTTTCATTCTTTACTACAAGGACAGCTTCGTATCCAATGTATTCTATCTTCGTTGTAAATTTTAAATCCAGCCCGATTTCTTAAAATTTTCCAAAGCGAATAAGAAATTTGGTATTTTTATGGCTTCAGCTTTTAATAATAGCTTAACTAATCAATAATTAAACTGCAAAATTTTATTATGAATTACAATTACTTAAATATTTACATATGTACTCGCCTTAAGTGTTCTGTAAGTCTGAATTAAAAAAAAAGAAGAAATTTCAAAAATTGTAATAAAAATATTCGAATGTATGGATCGGAATTACTAATGATTTGCTTAAGTATTATGCGATTGAAAAGTGCTGGCAAACTACGTTGGGAAAGCGGCGTGGACGTCTTTTGAAGTTTGTTTTATGTGTATTACTAATTTATGTAAGCATGCCAATATTACCTATTAGTTTTAATTTATTTATCTGTATAAGTATGGATGTATGAAAGTGTGTTAAACTTAAGTGGTAGCATACACTGTCCTATATTAGAAAGTCGTAAAATTTTTGGATTGTTTAGATTGCTTAGTCAGAAGCCAACACCACTTTTCATCGACTTTTTTCAAAGTTTTTAAAGACAAGTCGGCAATACCAAAACAAAGAAAAGTCAATACCCAGAGCAAGGCATATCAAACAGGTAGTAGCATTAGGGCAAAAACAACATTTGTGTGTATTTTGCTGTTGCTTCTGGTATCGTAAATGTCAACAACTGTTGTGATTTTTTTTCTGCTAAATCAAAGCATGCCATGTAAAATACAAAAAATAAAAAATTTAAATTGCAAAAAATGACATATGTTGCAACTTTCTTTCTTATAGCGTTTTCTTTTCTCGAAAAAAGTTCTGCCCTTTTATGTGGGAGCTCTTGCTTTGCGTTGCCCTGAAACCTCAGAAAATGTTGCGTTTTTTATACGAGAATGAAACAGAAATTATACTACTCCATCACAATTTATTTATTGAACTTAATAAAGCTGAATCATTCACTTGGCCTGTAAGTCTTTAGTAATTGTAAAGCAAAACACTTACTTCTGATACGGAAAATAATTGTAATTTTACAAGCGTAAACTAAAAATCAACCGTGCAACTCTCACACACGATTATTTGAGGTCTGAAAAGGCAGCACTTTTGCCGGATCAGAGCGCAACCTGCTGAGAAAAGAACACGACGCCTTTTGAAAGGGCTGAGAAAAGAACATGAAAATTTGACAGCGCTAACTCAAGGCAGAATAAGTGCAGCCTTTTTTCGAGAAAAGAAAACGCTATTAGTAAATTTGTTTGCTTTTCGAATCATTGATCCATACCTTGCGAGGCTCAGTAATCAGCGGTTGTGCTGCTGAGTTTGGCGAGCGTTCTAAAAGCTGCTATTCTTGATTTGTATGGAAAAAGGTTTCACATGCAAATAGATTTTAAGAATTTAGAATTTTTGTGAGAAGATATTAAAAATATTTGAGATTTTCGAGACCAAATATTTTAATAAAAATAAAATCAGCTGCTATACTGATACTACCTCTTCAATGTGCCTTGACCCAGGAGTAAGTTAAAAATACCGTAGTTGTGGTAGCGAAAGGTTACTTTTTTTTTAGAGATGTAGAACTTTCAATTGAATAATAATTTCAAGTTGAAATTTAACTTTATTACAAAGAAGTAAAATGCTGCACCTTTTTTTCGAGTAATGGGGCCTATCTCGGAAATGGTTTATACGCAGTGTTGCCTTCCAAGGCCTCCAAAGTTTCCGATCGGTGTACATAAATCAATAACTTCGAGTAACCACAGAGAAAATAATCGAGTGGTGTTGAATCGAAAGATCTTCGTGGCCAATTGACTGTCCCATTTCCCCCAAATGTTTCCTTCAACAGGTCGATGGTTTGATGCGATGTATGGCATGTGGTGCCGTTGTTTTAGGAAAACATGTCTTCAGTCGAATTTCCATTCAATTGGGGCATGAAATAATCGGTAATAATGGCCCTATAGTGCTCGACGTTGGCGGTAACGTTTTCGTCATTCGCATTAAAAAAAAGATAGGATCACCGATTTCACCGGCACATAAAGTACACCAATCATTGAGCTTTTGTGAATGTAGCAGTGCCTCGAGAATTTGTCGTCAATTCTCTTCACTCCAAATGTGACAATTTTGATTATTAACATGCACATTGAGCCAAAGATGAGCCTCAATACTTACAGCATGGCTATGAGCTTTGATAAAACGACTGTATCAATATATTAATAGGTCTTTATTAATAATACGAAAGTAGTTCTCAAAAACGTATAGATACGTTATTTTTATATAGTTCGAGTGACATTTTTAAAGCTTTTAGCGGAAAAATTTGCCACCGCAGGAGTGTTCATTTCCTTCAAATGATAATTTGACTAATAGTTTATATCTATATACATACATATCTTTCTTTCAGCTCTGCTTTTTTCGCCTATCACACACTCAGCATTGGCGAAGCGGAACCAGCGGGCCCAGTTCCAATCGATTCCTTCTTCATCTACCGTCCCGATAAACGCCTTGAAGTTTGGCGTTTCATATTGTATATGGTATTACATGCCGGTTGGTTTCATCTTGGCTTTAACCTCTGTGTTCAATTACTTTTCGGCTTACCGCTAGAGATGGTGCATGGATCGGGGCGAATCGCTTGTATATACTTTTCCGGTGTATTGGCGGGTTCATTAGGTAAGTATTTGTAAAAAACTAAAATAAGAAATTTACTTATGTATTCAAGTTATTCTGCATGTTCTTAGCTAAATTTAGAGGTCTAATAAGTAAACTCGCACTTTTAGTACAGTCAATCTGGACTTAAGAAAACTCCAGAGCAGCGCAAAATGTGCCAATTGGTTCAGAAACATGTTCAGAATAAAATATTCAAAATGTTTCGCCAAGGGGGACCGGGATATTATATAAATCAGTGGTCGGCAGGCCATAGCTCACTGAGCGCTCTCTGAGCACATGTGTGTTTCACACGTATACGAAGAGCGGAAGCTGAGCAGTGCATTTAACGCACACAGTCTCACTTATTGAATCGTTTGAATGTATTAGAATGCCGATCACTGATGTAAATCAATGAAAAAAAACACAAACTGTCCAACTAAACGTCAAGAACTCTGACTGCGTCAAATCAACTGCTTAATCAAAAATACAGAAATATTAAATTGCAGAGAATATAATCCTCTACAAGTTCAAAACGATAATCAATGTTCCAATAGTTAGTTTTTTTATAAACAAATATTTGAATCTACTACGCATCTGGCGACAAAGTGTGCGGCCATCTTGGGCCTTTTTTCAAAATATTTGTATTGAAGAAAAAATTCCAATTAGTTTAAGCACTTTTTATGAAAGAGTCCTTTTTAAAAATATTGCCCAATTATATCAATTTCAATCGAAAGCTTAAAAGGTCTTTTCAGCAACAAAATTGCAAGCTTCCTTTTGTTTCCTCTCTTAATTGAAAAGTTCAAAAATAATTTTTAAAGGTATTGTCAGCAATATTTACTTTTCCAAAAAAAAACTTAAAAAAAAATAACAGTAGAAGAATAGAAGTGCCTCCTTTTTTCTTCATTGTCTATATTTTTGTTAATTTCTCAGCTAATTATTCACTTAAATATTGTTCGAAATTAGCTAAAAAACGGAGCACAAAATCGTTTCCAATATTTCATTCACATACGACAGTTGTCGTTAGTTTTTTACAAAAACAAAATTTTGGTTTGAAGTTTTCTTTATCAAATATTGATTTTTTGCCGCAAAAACTTATCCAATTACCCATTGACTTTATTATTTCATAGAAAATTTAATAACATTAATCGGAGGTATTTTCTATTTCTATAACGATATCGATAAACGTACCACTCACACATCAACACTGATAACGATATCGATAAATATTTATATCGAAGGCTGAATGGTAAATCGACTTATCCCGGCAGTCGGTTCGGAAACGCCCTATCTGAGAAAATGACCCAAGAACGCCCTACTTATAATTTGCTGAGTTCTTCAACAAAATTCGGAAGTAGCGCGTTCTTGAAATGTTTTCTGAGATGGGCTTCTTCGAACCGCTTGCCGAGATATGTCGATCTGTCGATCTGTATATAAAAATTACTTATTTTCTTCCTTTATCTCATTTTTACTTATCTTTCTACAGGCACCAGCATATTTGATCCCGAAGCGTACTTGGTTGGAGCTAGCGGCGGCGTATACGCACTACTGGCGGCACACTTGGCCAATGTGATGTTAAATTTTCATCAGATGCGCTATGGCATACTGCGATTTATAGCCATTTTGGTGTTCGGTAATAAAACTCATTTCAATCACTTAAAAAAAAAAAATAATTATCTACATTCCACTTCCTTTTTTTAGCTTCCTGTGACTTTGGCTTTGCAATCTACGCTCGTTATGCTGGCGACTATCCCTTCAGTCCCTCGGTGTCCTATGTCGCCCACTTAACCGGTGCCTTGGCGGGCCTAACCATTGGCCTAATTGTGCTCAAGAACTTCGAACAGAAACTACACGAACAACTTTTGTGGTGGATTGCGCTTGGTATTTACACTGCCTACATTATATTTGCAATTGTTTTCAATGTATTGAATAGTGCTGCGATGCAGAGTCTAAAAGTGGAACCCATCTATGCCACCGAAACGTTTTTCAATGATTTTCATGTATAATATTTAGTTTTAAGCGCTAAATGCTATGCCATCTTGTCGATTGGGTGGAATACTATGTGTAGAAATATTTTGCAAAAAAGTGTGAAAAAGTGTGTACATATTACATATGTACATATAATGAAAAGAATGCATATGCATATATAATTTTTGTTAAACGCTTCCACTTAAAAATTTTTTGTTTATGTTTTGCATTTCAGTTTGCATTTAAAAATTGAATGAATGAAATGTAGAAAGTTTGTGCTTTATTAGAGAATATTGGAAAAGTAAATAAAATAATTAAATATTTTTTGTTTTGTAAGAAAATTTTTTTGGAATAATTTTGTTTAAATGTTACTTTGCAACCGCTTCATAAATGAATATAATCAAATGCTAACTAACTTCGTGATTTTATAAGAGATCTCAAAAGATCGTGCAATAATTCAATATTATATAGCATAAGTTTAAATATGTATGTAAGTCGAGTAGAGTATATACATACATATGTACATATAAGTACTTGTAAGTTATTATCTCTGAAAAATGAGTTATAATGCATTTTGAAAAAGTTTCTAAATTGCCAGTACAAATAGTTACTTTATTACATAGGACGTGTACATACTAACATAAATACTTATGCAGATATGCATATGTGCAAACAGAGGAAACAAATATATATATTTGTACAAATTTGCATTTAAAGCGTAACGCAGGTGGATAAAATAAAGAGAGTATACTCCGTTAAATTTTGTTGGCTTTATTGGAATTTAAAAATGTAATAAGCATATTCATCAAGGAAAAGAGGATTGGCCCGCATGAACAAAGTTAAGCAATTACTTTTGCTTAAAGCCCTTTCACTTCAATCTATTTGAATAAATCGAGTAAATGGTCTGAAATTTCAAGAAAAAGTAATTGCTTAGTTTCTATTCATACGGCCCATTGTTTGCACTTTCGAAACTTGTACTGAGTTATTAAATTTTGTATTATTATGTTTATTGTGTTTAAATTTTTGCAGCTTTTGGAGATTAAAAGAATAGCTTCCATGTAAATAGGGGTTGCGCCTTTGCTAAAAAAACTTGAAGGTATAATTTTTCATACAAAATAAGACTGTATTCTAGGCTAGTTTCGAGAACTTCGATGTGTTTAAAGTTTAAGAGAATATCTTTTACATAAACTCGGCAACGTTTTCTCCTTTTATTTTTCAAATCACGTGTATAACTTAAAATATCCGATAAAACACGATTTTCAATATTACACACTTATATACATACATACATATGTATGTACATTACAAATGACAAAATTTATTATATTTGAAGACGTCCACCAAAATATTTCGGCAAAATATTAAGATTTACGTGAGCTGGACCGATTTGAAAATACCTCCAAAAATGCATTGTTTTATGAAAAAAATCCCCTCAAATGACAATTCAGTTTAAGCTTGAAAAACCTGTATACAAATTTTTAAATTTTTTTCCATGGAAGATTTTTGATGCTGAGGTTTTTTTCTAACTTTTTTCAAAGATTGGTTTAAGAAAAATTTGAATAACTGAGCCAAAACTATTCCGATTTAGATTTGTGAGGTATCAGTGGAAAGATGGGGCACAATAGACCCAGCGGTCGCAGTGCATTAACCAACCAACTATCTATCTATCTATCAGTGGAAAGATATTTTCCCACTCTTTTTATTTCCTTGCATTCCAAGGTTTTCACCCAGTCTTCGCTGAGCTGACTAAGAGCCCATCTGTCCAGAAGTAGACCACATGTAGTCAGTGAAGCTCGCATAATTTCTTTACATGGCGAGAGTTTTTCTTAGTGCCCTGTCTCATCAGCTCATTGGCCATGCAGTCGTCTGCGATATCGCTGTAGCCTAGAACCGAAATGAGTTTAGTAGCGTAATAATCTGATGCTGTTTAATTTTCCGTATGTATTTCTTGCATTATTAAATAGATCTCTTCTTCGACTCTTTCCAAGACTTCTCAAGGTTCAACAGTTTAAAGAGTTCACTAAAGCGCCTCCTGAGAGTTTCCAATTGCAGGTTTCACTTGTGTGGGTTGGCCTGAACCTTGGTTTTTCTCAATTGACCTGAAGTGCTGAACACTATAATGAGATAATCACCATAATTAAAAAAGAGTTACCGAAAAAATGTTATCGTGCGGTAAATTGAAATATTAAGGGCAGTTTTCTCAAGTAACCTTTAACTTTAAAGCTTCTTTTTTTTTAAAGGTTTCTTTAAAATTTCGGTTTTTATTTATTTTTAAATTTGTCTACAACTAAGAAGCATATATACGTCAAAAGCCGATAATAGAAAAGCTTTACTTTAGACATATGCATATAGTCTAAAGCAACCTTTAAATATAAAGTGAGCTTTAAAGTTAAAGGTTGCTTGAGAAAAACGGCCCTAAATATAATATCTACTTACAACAGTTCTGTGCCTCTTTGAAAAATTCTCAATGGCGACTGAAAACTCTAAAATTCAATTATTTGATATTTTTCGGGGTGCAAGTACTTAATGTTTTTTAACAGTAAATTTTATTTGGTATTTTTTTTTTAAAGACTCAAAACTTGCCAACTTTAATAGAAAACTAAATTTTTTTGGCTATACTGAAATAGCGAATGATCAATACTAAATTAATCTCTCACATATGCAAAAACCAATATAAATAGGCCTACACTTATGTATATAAAAAACCCGTTATTTAAAACTAATAAAAGAAAAATAAACACTGCCATTCAATGACTTCCCTCGCTACGTTATTAAATGAAAAACATTGTAAGTAATTAATAATTGAATGCACTGAGAGCTATTTTACTATTTACTATATCTACACTTTGTACAATAATAATGACAACTAAAAAAAAAAACCAAACGTTTAAATAAATAAAAAACCTTTTATACTAACAGCCAAAGATTAATTATGTGTTTTTATTTTCTAACTGACTTGATAGAAATTTGGTGTCAAAAATGCTAAAAAATATTTATGCAAATGCTGTCCTGATAGGTATGCTTAATCATAAAAATTGTATGATACAGTACAGATGTACATTAGAGTGGTCCAAAAACAATAAAGTCGGAATTTTAATGCCGCCACCCCCTAGAATTGTTCTATACCGAAAAAATATACCCCTATTTTTTATTTTGAAATCGAAAAAAATATTTAGGGATTGCTCAAAGCACTCAAAATTTTCCATGTATATTATGGAAAATAAAAAAATAGGGATAAATTTTTCCGGTATAGAACAATCCTAGGGGGTGGCGGCATTAAAATTCCGACTACCTTTTCACATGCATTTTTGAACCACCCTAATGTACATATTTATGAATTTACATATGTAAATACATGTAACACAAATAATAACTTTTCTTTTTTTGAGTCCAATGGACTTTGTTTTTGTTTTTTTTTTCTTTTTGCATATTTTAAAATATCGAATCAAATGTCACCGCCGGCCTCGGAGTTAGTTTATTTTTCGCTTACTACACTTCCTCTTTAAATTCATTCAAACGAACCAACAGAGATTTGCATTGGTAACCCAGCAGCAAATCGAATTACGAAAGATTTGGCTTAAGCAATAATTTCGCGATTTCCAATCCATGCAGTCCTTCTCCCATCAATTCCGTATGGCGTCTTTCTACCTTTCCCATACCTTAACGGACCTGCCCTGATGCGTACTATTTTCTAAAGTGGCAGTGATCGTTTACATTTCTTTTCTTTTTCTTAAGCTTTCGACCATCCAAAAGTCCTTCCCTATTCGGGAACTTCAAAGGGGCTCGGTCGCCCATTGGGGCAGACGGGAAAGCCTTTGCCTAATGAAACCGGCAGAACTACAAAATACACAGCAAAACTTATCCCATGCGAAAGATAAGGATGACCCGGCAGCTTTCAAAGGCAGATAAGGGAAACAATTAAGAAGATCTTTCCCAAAAACTCATTTTTGCTCTTCCAAGCCTGGCCTGCGAGTCGTAGGCATGTATTTAATTTTATAGAGAACCTGCCGTATCCTCCAATAGAGCAGAAGGACTATCTGTAATTTTGTGGTAAAGGGCCATTCCAGCATGATAAAAACATTTACAAAAATTTGTATCATGCATTCAAGTATTACGAAAGCAGAGTTATGGAAATTTGTAAGCTCTCGCTGCCCCTTGTCATCAAAGCTAAGCAATTTTCTCACCCCTTTTCACCTTCTATGTATACGTAATCATTGGTATTTCTTAAATATGTTAATGTTTCTTTATTGTTATCGATGACTATCAAGTACAGAAATGGGGAATTTATAGCCTAAAAAATTAAAAAAAAAATGTTGGGTAAATATTTGTTCAAATTAGAATTTATAAGATTTTTCATAAAAATAAGAAAAGTAAATAAATAAATATTGCAGACGTAGTCATCTTCCTGACCACCACCTGCCCCTTGCCATCAAAAATAACCTAATCAAAGACACTCCTCCCCCATTAGTGGTTACGTATTACTTGAATAGCACCTGATCCCCATTAAACAAATTCGGAATCCTGAGTTTTCCTGTTGGGGTTTCTGCCCACTTCGATATGTGTTAGGGATTTGTCATTCATTGTTTCCATTACAGTTGCAATTTCGCTGCTGCCAAACAAAAATCAGTCATCGTATTTAACATAAGCATTAGGGCGTTTCGAAAAAAAACGCATTTCAATAAGTACTTAGAACTAAGATGTTGATGACAATCGATTTCAGTGGAAGATAAAATAAAACACGTCTTACGTTTTGTGTGGTTATAGTGTGAAGAAGAGAAAAATAGTTTATTCATTACATTGACGTCTATGTGACATTCATAGTGGCTGTGTTCAATGCAACATCCTCCCTGAATTAATAATTTTTGTTTTTTTTTTTTTTTTGTTTTTACATTTCAAAACTGGTCTGTCTGTCACAATAGCTTAACTTCTACTTGGCAGAAGGCCCAAAGAACGAAATTATAGAAAAATATATTAAATAGGAAATAACGTGTGCCTATTCACTCATGCCAAAGTACTTCAAGAAACGAAGCATTTTTGGCTGTGCAACTGCTTTGGTAAGAATATCTGCTGGCATACTTTCCGTTGGCACCTGTTGTATGTTGACATGTTTTTCTTTGGCATTCTGAACGATGTATTTTACTTTAACATC